CGACGATGCAGTTTTCTAGGCGCGAAGGCTCTCGTGGCCCTCGAGTGTTTAATTTTGGGTCGCAACGGTACGCAAGCCCGCGTTTCGTCACCTCGCTGCAACCAACGCGATCGAGATCGAGATCGAGCCAATGCACCAGTGGGCCAAACCGCGATTATAGAAAAAATCCTACTCGTGGATGTTCGTTTCGACCTTTGGCCCAGCGAGTAGCTCGGTTCGAGTGGCCATTTCACGTTTCAACACGAGGAACGACGTTTGCTCGCGGAAAGCCGCGCGTCGATGTTCGTATTTGTCAAACCGCGTTCGGTAGCTCTCCGTTTCGTTCTCGTTCTCGGTTTCGGTTTCGGTTTCGGTTTCGGATTCGGATTCGGATTCGGATTCGGATTCCCCGGGGACGAACCTTTATCCGGCGTTATCGGTTCTCTGGAAGCTGACGCAGGGCGGAGAAGAGGCCTGGCCGTGCGCGGAGAATCAAGAATCGACCGCCAGCCGGATTACTAATCATTTCCCGGGTCCGAGAAACCTCGCTAATTGATTAAAGTCACGATCCTGACCCTGCCGTAATATCGGCAATCTCTTCTTGGCGCACGCTGGGGAGAAAGGTAGGCATCGGGGACAGAGAAAAACGTACAGGACGGAGAGAAAGAGCGGAGAGCACAGGATGAAAAAGAAAAGGCAAGAACCACCAGAGTAGACGGTGCTCTCTCTGTCTCGTTCCTCGTATGTTGGCCTCGCGTAATTTTTACCCATCTCGCTCCGTCTCGGTTCCACCCGTCCCATTTTATATTCTCAGCCTTTCCTTCGTCTCATCGTTTTGGTTTGGTTCGGTTGCCCCGAACCGTTCGTTCGAGCAGCCCGACTATCCGCCTTCGTCGTCCTCCCATTGTTGCATCGTTCCAGCCCGGCAAGGGAAACAATGTCTAATTTCAGTTAATGCGGCCATAATGGCCATCGTCGTTGCATCGGCGTGCCGCATGCTTCGACGCCGAGAGATAAGTGAAATCCACCACGGCCCCACCGATTCCTCCTCACGGACGAATTCGTCCGTCGATCCCCCGAGTACGTATCCACGATGATCTGCATCGTGAGTTTCCTAGTGGAACCCGGTAACGTTCCTGTGCCCGCGCAATTAACACATTCTCAGCCGCTGACGCAATTTTACGTAATTTTCAGATCTATAACCGGCCGCCACTGACGTAACATCACGTCATTTTGTACGTGCAGGGAGAGACGGACGATTTTATTATTCATATTTATGCGTACACGTGGCTGTCTAGCGACGATATACCGATTTCTGGGTCAGCTTAATATTAGCTTTTGTAATAAGTTCGCGGTTTCCTCATTATTCCCGTGTATCTTGTCCAAGGAATATCTTGAAACCGTTTAAACAATAACTCTGTTAAGCGGTTCTTGGGGGCCAGAATTGCAAAGCGAAACGACGAATCGAAGGAAATCGGGCGCAAGGTTTACCCGCGGCGATTCGCCGGCTGGCAGGCTGGTCAAGAGTTTCTCGCGGTAACGCGATATCGCGGCATGCGAAGTCGCGGTCGTTTTCGAAGCTACCGAGACGAGGAGGAAGGGAGCGGGATAGCTCCGCGAAACGTACCGTCGTCGTCGGCCAGTCGCAATTAAGGGTTAATTAAATTGAGCGGCTTCCTAGATTTCTGTAATCATCGCGGACAGTATCTGCGGGGTAATCTTGAGCGCATCCTGTCTGCCTCGGGGGCCCCACGGAAGGAAGGGGCCCCGAGGTAAGGTCATGCACCCCGCTGACCTCGGACCACCGACTCGCCTCCTCGTTCCCCCGCGGGGCCCCTTTCCCCCTTTCCCCCTTTCTTCCCCTCCTGCCCTCTTCTAGGCCCCTACCAGCCGCGCCACCTCGGTCTCCCCCCACCCCATTGCTCCGCTCCAGCCCATACCTCACCGCTCGACCCTCCGCCGAGCGTCCTTCTTGCCTTTAACGTTCCTACTCCTTGCTCCTTCCTCCTTTACCTCCGCTCTTTCCTTCTTCGTTCGCCTTTCTTCCTGATCTTCGTCTTCGTCTTCGTCCTCGTCTTCGATCTCGTCTCGGTTCTCATCCGCGTCACCTTCGTCCTCCCCCGTTTGCCGCCGATACCCTCCACGCTATTCTCCCGGCGTTGCTGCCGTCAACCCCTCTCGCGGATGCGCTTTCTTCTTCACGTTCGACCTTCCACGCTCCCCACCCTCTCGCCGTTCCTTATCCCTCTTTCGATTTTCTCCTCCCGGAGCCCTCGCGCGACCGCCGCCGCTTCCTCTCGTTTAACCTCTTCCTCTCCGTCACGCTGCATTTTCCCGAGGACTCGCGGGGCACCGAGCGGTCGTTGCGTGCCCCGCGACGACCAACGTTCGAATTATTATCAAAACTCGAGGCATCATCCCGGATAATGAGCGGACGTCGCCGCGACAGGGCAGAACACTCGAGGCGTACTTCGCGTGGGAAAAACGCGACCAAGAGCTCCTACCGGGGGCCCACTACGCCGAGAAACGACGCTCGCCCACGACGCCACTGAGAATGAATCCCAAACTATTGCAAATTTCTGCGAGGTCTGATGGTTTTCTCGATCTAAGGGTGGTAACGAGGATGTTACAAAAGTGTCCCGTGGCCGCGAGGTTTTCAGCCTGCGCTCCCTGACCGCTCGTGTCGATGACCGTCTCGCTTACGTACGCCTCAAACAAGGTCAGATGGTATCTGGCAGCGAGAGAGAGAGAAATCGGGATCGCGCGAACGCAGGACGGTCAAGAACGCGAAAGAAAACGTGAGAAAATTGTCCAACTTCCGCGGAAGCGAGCGTCGCGACGTCGCGCTAGCAACGGGGGGGCCCGCGAGGGGCCGAAACGGGGCCCTACGCACCGGGGAGGGACGAGCGAGCAGCGAAACCTCGGACGGAAATAAATACACCTGGGCTGTCCGCGTCTGTGACCAGCTCGTGCGTGCTCTAACAAGGTCAGATGTTATCGCGCCGCGAACAGCCAAGTTCAACGGGAGAAAAAGGAAGAATCTCGGAAGGGGAGAGGCGTGGGAACCTTTCCGGGGTTTTCGTGAGCCGACGCGGTTCGCCTCGAACCGCGCACGCGCCTCCGTTTGCGCGCGTAAATTAACACCTCGTCGACGGGACCGTCTTCACGGCCAACGTACGAAGAAAAAGTATCGTCGCTACGTGGCACGTGACAAAACACGCTCTAACCCTTTCGTCGACGCGATGTGATCACAAAGAATCGATACTCGACCATTGTTTCAGTTTTGACAGGTTTAGCTCGTTTGGTTAGTATAATAACAAGCGTGCGTAGATGGGTACAAAAAATTTGTAGATCAATCTGTAACTAGCATGCTTAAAAGAGTGTGTGAAGTTTGAAGCGAAGTCAAATTACTGAGATTGTTTGTTGCGATACGTAATGTGGTAAGAAGTCCATTGTTAACATAATTGGTTCCATGTGTACGGACGAGAGAAAACGGAGCGTCGAGGTAAATGTCTTACAGAAACGTTGAAAAGTAACGTCGTATGAACGGGTGGTCAATTTTGATTGTAATTTCGAAATGAAATTTGCCATTTCCGAGATGGGCAAAATATTTCACAAAAAGTATTAAACGTAAACGCACAGACGAGATACACGCGTAGACCTTACATCCAATGTATTTTTTTTAGAGCACCATTACCAACAGGTTACACAAAAGAACACAAGAGGAAATAAGACAGAAAATGAAATTACAGAAACATTCCTGGCCACACATTATATTTACGGTAAAGAATTTTTTTCTCAAAAGTGCCCAGGATTTCGAGGATACGTTTATTCACCAAAAATGATTTTAATTAACTCCTGCAATCGAAAATAATTTTTCCAGAACGATTTGAAAATTTTTTTTTTCGCCGAAAAATTTAGGCACTAAACCCTGTCGATTTTTCTTAAAAACTCGTTTTTTATTTTTATTAATTTTGTTTGACTTCCTATAGAAAAGTTGTCTAATACTTTTTTGTAGGTACCTATGAGCTTTATTTCAGAAAAAAGTTTCATTGAAATATATTCACTATTGTAAAAATTATGGTCGTTTGAAAATTGCGCTTTTTAATTCCTTCCATAGTCAACGCACAAGGTATAAGGTATGAGGTCTACTCGTATAGTTCGTCGTAAAGCCACTGAATCACTTTACACGTCTAATATTTTACTACGCAGTTGAAGTATCGAGTTTTCCTAAACCGATCGTCGAAATAATCGATAATCGAAATGAATGCGTTTCCCTATAAACGCTTGAACGGTTATCTGTTCGTTGGAATAAAATTTTGCCCATCTCGGTCGGTGATCCGACAGTCGTCGGACGTATCGAGCGTAGAAGAAGAGTATCGGTGGTATCGGCGCTCTGGCTGTAAAAAGACCTCGAGGAGCTCGAGCGCGACCGAAACGAGAACGCGTCCAGATATAAATACGCGCACTTGTCCCGCGTTAGCGCTACGAGTTCCAAGGATGCTCGCGCATTCGCGCGCGACGCGTTGCGAATCCGTTGCAAATAAATAGAAGCGTTTCCGCCTCGCTCAACTCTGACCTTACGAACCTCGCCGCGCGATTCGCAGCCGTTGCTCTATTTTAACGCGTTCGCTGCCGAGCCTTCGATACGACTCCCTTCCCTTTGTCGCGTGTTCTTCAGTTTCCAGTACAAAATGCAGAACAGAAACGTACGAGCACGATATAAGAAAAACGGTATACGAAATTCCGCCGTAGGATATGCTAACCGGGCAACGAACGTGTTAAATTGGATGCATATTAGGCGCAGGGTGACGCAGTTACAGCCAATTAAAAATACACGTTTCAGCGAAAAGTGACGTATTATGAAACGAAATGCGTTACCTTTGCGTCACCCTGTTCTCGATGTGCGTTTATCTTTAAAATAGACTATCGGAAACGCGTCGATTCGATCGGAACTCGTTCGATCGACACCCAGCTCCGATCCAATCGATGCGATACAAGCGAAACGATTCGGTACATACCTTCCCGTCGCATGCCCATCTTCAGGCACTTTTTCAACCGACAATACTGGCACTGATTCCTATGGTGTTGGTCGATGGGACAATTCCTATTCCCCCGACAAGAGTACGTTAGATTCCTCCTGACGCTTCTCTTGAAGAAGCTTTTGCATCCTAAAACGAGACAAAAGGTTCCAATTAGAAACGTTTCTTCCCCTTTGGAGTTGGATAAAAGTCCGTTTAAGGGGTTTGGATACACGAGTCTGTACTTCGAATGGGCTTTACTATCGGCAGACCCGACTGGACAATGGTTTTCAACTTCTCTCGAGCATGTCACAGTTTTCCCCCCGAAAATTGCTCGACCACTGGTGCAATTATCTTGGTGGTGGTAGGTTGCAACGAATGTTCCAGCGACGAAGAATCGGAGCAACGATCGAAGAGGGAGGCAGGGGGGAGGAGAGCAAGGAAATAAGGATAAGCGATTACGCAAACTCTGTGACACGGACGACGAGAACGGATCCGTTGGGCGCAGCTGGAGGCCAATCCGGTCAGCGGGATCGATTCTTGCGCGTTAACCGCGCTATTCGCGTCAACGTTCGAACACTCGAACGATCGCCAATACTCCGATACCGTCCAAAGTCAGGCAAAGTCCTTATCTAGAAATTTCGACGAACGTGAGATAAAACACTTCTGGTTCATTGTTCGTCGAACGCTGCCATTGGAAAAGTGTGACGACGGTACGAACGGCGTTGACATTATTTATGAACACAAATAGAAGTAGCAGCGGCTAATCAGATTAGGCGAGCTAAACAGATTGTGGCTGGTCTAGTGCGCACGTACTTAACCTCTCAGCTATGGAGCCTGGTTTTACAAGTTTCTGCCCTGAGAAGTTGACAGAAGCCACCTTCTTTTTGGTTGCACTATGATTGTTTAATCAAACCGCTACGTCGAGTAGAACGTTTCTTTTCGTAACTTTACTTCGAGCACGGAAGATTTCCTGACTTCGTTGCACCTAAACGCAATCAATTTTGCAATAATCTGGGATAAACGAACCAGGAGAAGTTTCTGTTTAGCAGGATTCTTTTGCAACTGGTTACAAATTATAATCCCGCGAGGAATACGTGGCTGCTCGCAACCAGTCGCCCATAAATCTGATCATCCGATGCCTTTTAACGATCGCAACCATAATCCCGTGGTACGTTTCATAGCGATTAGTACCTTAGAAGGGAAGGTGGATGCCTGACCCTACTCTTTACAAAGTACTCGATCGTCGAATAACGTGGTCACGTTTCCCGAGTTAATTAACATAAATGTACCCGGAATGAAAAGTCTGGAACTTAGATCCTATAGATCTCTCGAGACTAAAAATTTCTCTACGGTACGAGATATTAAATTTCAAAAGACCATCGGCGATTTTTAGCCCTGTGGTGAACCTTTGCCTAGAAGTGACTCTGTACACTGTAGACCTTGTCGCAGATTGGCTCGATGGCGGTCAGAAACGCATCAAGGAGCCACGGTTCGATCGAAATGGAGGCGAGCGGTCCGATCACCTTTTAACCTCTTTACCGTGTACACGATGGTCCTATCTACATATCTGTCACGCGTGTGTCGCGTGCTACGCCGACGCGGACTAACCCAGGCCATTGCGCGTTCACCGCTCATTAAATCGAATCGCGTTAAGCCGTGTCATCGGTCCCTATCGACGTTGGTCCGTCTTTGCCGCGAACGATCGAGTCACCGTGCTCGTTCGCGCGTCGACAGCGTTTTGTCGTTGCGGTTTATCCCCGATCGCCAACTCGCCGACTGCATTTTTCCGACCATTCCATCAATTAACTTCCATGACTCGTGTCAGCCTATTCTTATCTTTTTTAAAAAATTAAAATTAGCAACGCCGAAGCACGTTCTCTTTTAAATTGTAGAACGTTCGCTCGATTCAATTATCGCTAAAATTATTAGTTACAGGGTTATGAAAGTGGTTCCGGTTATGCGCCTCGCCCTGCATGACTCACGCCAGATTAGACAAAAATTATTACATCGGATTCGCTTTCTTTTACATCGCGTGCAACGGACTAAACCAGACGGTAAACTACGCATATTAGATAAAATTTCAGACTCGTTGTTTGAATTAGATTAGATTCCTCCGCGTTGTAGGAAAATCTATACTCAATAACTTGACTTCGTAAATAATATGTAGATTTGATAATTTTGTGACCAAAGGCAGCGTTAGAACCTACCTCCGTAACTTTCGATTCCGGTATCTCGTATCTAAGGGAGACAGAAATTAGAGTCAAGGGGAATGTGGTCAACGAGCAAGTAGAATGTGGACAGTGTCGAGTAATATTTCCTCGGTGGCAGGCCTCGCGAAGGCTGACTGAAACGTCTGACCCAATACGAGTCGCGATTCCCTTCGAGACTGATCTTTCTTTCTCCGATCCGTAGCGCGCGGTTATCCTCGACGTCTCGCGTTACCCTGTCTCGAGCACTCTTCCTCCCGTTCATCTTTCGTCGGGTTATCGCGGTACCCTTGAGAGATAGCCTCTTCGAAGAAAGTATTCCGATTCCATAGGAGGACAGGAATCGAATCGTGCGAGAATGCATCCGGAATCGAGAGATCTCGGTCGACGGGTCGACGCGAGTACTTGGAAGCAATTAAAAGGCAATTCATATCGTGACAACAAAGCGTCCTCTGTGTGGAAACGTTCAATCCAGATATAGAGAATATGCTCTCGGCGATTCTCATCGACGATCCCGAACTCCCGGCGATTTTGCTTTGACTTCTGTGCCAGAGCCACAGAAACCCGCCTGCTACGTTTTATTCCCGTCGAAACAATACGCCTAAACTCGTTTGCCAAATGGATTCACTCCGCAAAAGAAAGGGTAAAGAAATTGACAGGCTACCATAGATTAACGTAAGATCGATAAGTATTTCCTTTGTACGCGCGCGTTTTTGATATCGTCGAGATAATACGTGGTGAGTTATTTCGGATATAAATTTTAAGGACACTGGCGCTGGAATTTGCGTTATTGTTCTAAATTATGGGAACGTATTGGCCAACTTTTGCTTTCTACACCCACCAGTCGCCCAACGTTAACCGCCCCCATCGATCTATCTGTTGTTCCGTGGGTGGACCCAATGGTTTCTGCTGGGATTAACGACCACGTTTCTATTAACAGGAAAAGGATCTATCGGTGATCACGTTTATGAAATAAAGAAGAACAACGCGCGAAATTGTACCCTTTTCGAAAAGTGGTTAAAAAATAAAGTGCAGCGGTTATGCAACAGTAACTAATTGAGCAATAGAAATGTTAATAGGAATAAATGAAAACGCTGAGCAGAGAATTAAAATAAGAATCAATCAAGAAAAATGACAACGCATAATAATAAAAGATGAAAATATCGTTTCGCTTTGACGTGGTAAGAGATAAGCCATATAATTTATCATTATGGCCAACAACCTGAACCGTATTACATAATGTAATGCAACACGAATAATAGAAACATTAATAATAAAAATTATAAAGTACAAATAAATTTCGAGAGTAAATAATAAAAGAGCAAATAAAGAAAAAGCATGAGAAATATAATTAGTTTGACAGAACAACGTGCGGATATACGCGAATGCTCAGGTACCGTAACAGAAAGAGTTAATAAATGTATTAATTAATAGTTACGTCAGTCTTTCTTTATAATTTTGGCCACTTTATCGCAAATTTCGAAAGGAAAGATCTATTTCTCTCTTCGTTTCAGACCGAGAATGTACACAAAACTAAGCTTGCTCGTATTGATCCTATTAATAGACTCTGCAATTTAGCAAATAGCCTTAGTCGTAACATGAACTTTCCCTCAGGTTCAACGAGTTCGTTTAGAAACTGTATTAACGCGTTCGCTGCCACGCCAGTTTTAGAAGCGCCCTCGACGTTCTCTCAAAGCGTAGTATCGACGATAGAAATGCTCGACACTTGAAAGCTTGTTTTATAAAATTTATGACAACGAAGATTCGTGGATTGGTACTGGATTTATCGTTGTCGAGGTCTGGGAAATTCGAGCGGAAAGGCTAGGGGGCATCGAGGGTTCAAAAAATGATGTTCGACGAAATCACGAGAGACACGCACGGGTAACGAGCTCGCGCGGCCATCGCACCGCGTTTCAGGTTGACCGTCGTCGTCGTCGTCGACGCTCGCGTCGTCGTGATAGCCCGCGATCGCTGTCGTCGTCGATGTTACAAAACAGACTGTGGGGTCGCCATAACTACAAATTGCATCGTTACACGCAAATTACGCGATTATAGTACGCGGAGTCAACCGCCAAGAGACACTGCATACGTGCGCCGCGGCTGGCGCGAGAGAAAACAGAGAAATGGGCTCGGGGAAAAGGGAGAACCGTAGGAGACTCGGTGAAAGATGAACAGAGAGAGCCGGGACAACTACTGTTTATACTTTCAGATTGCAGCTTGCACGGCCCTCGAGAGCTGAAATTGCTCGCGTCATTGAATTTTCATTGCTCTGGCTCGTTCGCGGCCATTCCATTCCGAGTAGTAACGCGGAACACCGTTCCTCCGTACGCTTCCGAAGTATCCCGCGAACGAGCTTAGAAATCGTCGGCGCATCCACGGCCATCACCGCCAATAACATTTATTCCCGATCTACCCCGATTCGCTCGTACACGGTAAATCGTTGTAGCTGATTCGATCCACCGATCCTCCTAAGGTCCTTGCAACGGCGCTCTTTCTCGAACTTTTCACCACGGAGTTTTACTGTTCGGGAATAGAAACTCCTTCGCGCGATGCAGAAAGTTGCCCCGTTACTCCCGAGGTCAATTTCTTTCGATGCTGCGTCCTACTCTCGAAAATTCTTGAGAGAAAATCTCTGCAAGGTGGCAAGGTCTATCAGAGTGATGTAAAGGGCGAAGTAGGACGCGAACAGGAGCAGGTTGAACGTAAGAAAGGAAGCGGGTGGATAGCAAAGAGCGCGGCGGGAAGATTCGGTCAGTAACGTTTCGAGTCGGCCGCGTAAAATTAACGACATTGTTATAATTAATTAGCCGTCCAACGGCGTGTTGTTCGGGCAGAGCTGTGCGTAGATAGCGGCGGGCTTCGTTAGCGAGATAATTGGTCACAGAGGATGCGTTCGGGATGCGTCGCGCTTCGTAATTCTATGATCGATGCATGCGCCGC